TGCAGTTAGTAAAAGGAATGGTAGAACCATGTTATATGTAGAACCATTTGCATGCTAAAAGGGTTCTTTGCATGGTGAAATGGTTACTTAGATAGACGGAAAATGTGTTGTATATAGTTCTACAGAAACTTTTTGAAAATGGTACTATGTAATACCGAAAAAGGTTCTTCAATTGCTGGAAGCTTGACATCGTAACAACAGCAAAACCCTTTTTGGTTTCAAAAAGGTTCTATGTAGAACCATGTACAACATTTTTTCCCATGCAAAGAACCATTTAAGTATGTATTTTATATAGAAGAAGATTCTAAACAGAATCTTTACCAAAGAACCCTTGAAGAACCATCGTTTTTAAGACTGTCGTTTTTCCCACCTTCAAGCTTCATCATCAGAAGGTGGTTTAAGCCCTTAAGGCAGAAAACCTCACCGCAGAACCGAGTCAGCATGTTTACAGCAGCTTAAATGTGTCACTGGGCCGGAGAGTCCCGTTCACAGCTCAGCGGTTTGGGGCAAGTGGTTGATAATTAAGGCATGCGGTTAGCATTGTGCTAATTGGTGGGGTATTAGCGCCCATTAGCTATTAGCTACATCAGCCTCGTAGCTCTGGCGCTAAAACTAAGGACACAAACTTCAGCCCGAGTCTCGGATGCGTGTGTTCCAGGTTTTCAGAGACAGAGCAGTCCGATCGCTCGGCGCCAGTTCCCCCACGGCGGGTACCGGCTGGACGCGCTGGACTTCGAGGACGATTCTCGCGGCTGGAGGTTCGACATGGACATGGTGATCATCTACATCTACTCCGTCAACTGGGTCATCGGCTTCATCATCTTCATCTTCCTCTGCTACTGCTTCTTCCCCTCACTGTGAGAGGAAGGAGAGAGACAGAGAGGCGCGGACAGACGGGGAGCACGCACAGTTCGGGACACTCGTCCAAAAAATGCCTATCGACTTCTTACAGCTCCCTTCCAGAGGAACACGTGGTCAGGAGGAGCTCCAGATCTTCTGCACACTGACTGATAGAGTGTGATGATTTATATCCATCAGCAGTGAGAGCTCAGTGTAGTGCACAGTGAGGAGCTCTGAGCTCTGAGCTCAGTCTGGATTAGTGTTTTATAATGTTACAATAACTAAAATCATCCGGAAATATTTACACAACAGAACACAGTAAGAACATCTTGGGAAAAGGTTATTTACACAGCGTTCCTTCACTTAAAATGATCATGTATTCAATTTCAAAAACTAGCACAGGTTCTTGCAAACAGAGGCGTAGCTAGAACTTCGAGAAAGTGGTCAGGCGAGACTGGAAATTGTATTGGTGTGGGACACTGCTAGAAAAATAAAACAGCGCTACTGTATTAAAATGACATATTTAATGATGCATTTAATCCAAACAATAATTAAATCTGTCCATCATTTCCACATGAATAAAATATTAGATCAATGCAGCACTTAACGCTTTTCATACAGACATTATAGGAGTTATTAATTCTGGCTGCTCTCTCTGCAGGTTATACAGTCTGATGATTAGAAGTGATCAGAAAGCTCAGCGCTCAGATTAATTATCGAGATGAATGATTATAGCTGAGGAATGTTTGATAGCTACTCATCGTACCATGGAATATAATGTAGCTCTCAGAGCAGCTCTGAGTAAATCAGCCAATTACAGCATGATATGACCACGCTTCGGCTCCGCCTCTGCCTGCAAAGCACTGGGGTTAATGTCCTGCTGATGTTCCTCTCCAGAACTGAGATAAACTGCTCATTTCCCTGCATACAGAGTGTCCAGATACTGACCAAACCTCCTGTCTAAACCTTTTAAAGTCAATAAAATGGCATTAATTCATAAAATTGTACATTTTATTTACAATATTTATTAATTCTCGTTTCATAGCTGTACCCAAACAGACTGCCACACACACTTAAAAATGATCTTCAAGGGTTCTTTAGTGAAGGCTTTGGTTCTTTTTAGAACCATGAGATCCACATAGAAAATGGTGAAATGGTTCTTCAGACTGAAGGATAATGGGTTCTACATAGCACCAAAAAGGGTTCTGCTATTGCTACAATGACATGCTTGTACCAATAGAAGAACCTTTGTGGCGTTATACAGAACCATTTTCAAAAACGTGCATCATGCCAAGAACCATTTAAGAATGCAAATAGTTCCAAATAGAGCTCATGGTTCTAAATAGAACATTCCCTTTACTAAAGAACCCTTACTTTTTAAGAGAGTAGGGTAGCTCCAGACTCTGTTCTGAAGTCCATCGAGGACCTGTTGCACCACCTGCGTGAGGTCACTGATCTGCAGCAGGTCCTGTGCGGGCAGTAACCCAGCAGGGTGGACACGGTCTGACTGTAAAGTTCCTGCAGGAGGACAAACTTAGTTGGCAGAAACAGAACAGAGCAGTTAGAGAACCCATGCTGCTCTTTTTATAATGAGAAAAGTGTTGAGGTGCTGGTGCAGATGGTGCTGACCTGAGTTCAGAAAGGACACTTCAGCCTGCGTGGCCTCCAGCATGGGATGGTAATTAGATTTCCCAGACTGCACTGTGTCCTGCGCACCGCAGCAGAACGTCCCTTCAGAATCTCCAACTTCAACTGCTGAGAGAAAAAGACAAGTAGACGTTCTGTGGTAAATTCACACTTGTGGCTGTGTTTACATGCAAAGACTTTCACCAATCAGATTTGTTTCCTTCTGATTATAGATTATAGATGCCTCCAGCGCTCACTGGAGCAGTTTGCAGCTGAGTGTGAAACGGTTGGTATGTGGATCAGCACCTCCAAGTCTGGGTCCACAGTCCAGGCCTGGAAAAAGATGGCATGCCCCCTCCAGGTAAGGGGAGAGCTCCTGCCCCAGGTGGGGGAGATTAAGTATCTCAGGTCTTGTTGATGAGTGATGGGAAGACAGATCGTGAGATCTCTGATAATCTCTGATAATCATCCATTTTCCCCGGTAACACGCTCTCCAGGCCAACGTTTGCATGGCTTCATGCCGTCGTTGGCTGCTTACCACCATGAGGTGCAGAATTACGGTGTTTTCAACTAAAGGAGCAAGTGCAGCATTCCTGAGTTTTTCCCATCGGGAATGTAATCAGATACAGACGCTTACACTGCTGCTGTTATTCTATATAACAGGTTACAGGATTAACCACCTCGATCAAACGGATAGAAACTGTGTCAGAATTCGGAGATGATCAATATGGTCACCAGTGATGAAGATAACAAACCTGAATTACAGAATGAAAATCCAGTCAAGGCTTTGTTTGTTACAGCCATAGCGGTAAGAACCGTATGTTCCCACCACCTGAGCTCCCCATGTGAGTGTCTTGTGACTATGAGCACCTGACCCATCACCTAGTGCAGCTCGCCCCCTAGTGTTCCCAAAACGGTACTGAAAGATTTACAAAGACAAAATTTGGCTGCTACACACGGAGCGGTTTGGATGAGTGTCTTCTAGTTTTGTTTATACAGAAACACCAGCCCAAAAGTTTGAGGTCTGTTGTCTCATTGTCCCTCCACTGAAATCCTCCCTCACTGCTGTCACCCAGCTCAAAATGACAAATGTCGAGTTGGATTGACATAGAAGCCGAAAAAGCTTGAATTCCGATCTGGCTGTTCAGACGGAGTATAGTTTGGAAATTTAGACTTACTTTGCTAAACGAAACACGTTTTGGTAAATTTAGAGTTACGCTGCTTAATTTAGACATTATTGGGTAAATTTTTACTTAATTTAGTCATTTTAACCCTTCACTCTGTTCACCCCCCACGCATTTATATTACACGTGGTGTTGGGTGAACCTGCGGGGAGTGAAAGTGTGGAGGTGCTGTGTTCTTCATGCTGTTCTCTTCCTACATAGCCTGCTGTTAGTGTGTCTGTGTGTGTGAATATGTGTGTGTGTGTGTGTGTGTATATGTGTGTGTGAGGGTGAACATGGACAGGCTGCTGACTGGCTACAGCTGCTAAAGGAGAACCCTACGCTGGACATGTGTGATATTTTAAACATCTGGTATTTTTAGTAAATTGTTGACTGTATTGATTTAAATAAATAATAATGTGGTGGGTCTCCAGACCACTGAGTAACACACATCGACACCACTCAGGGGTTCAGGCTTACTTTGGAAATCTAGACTTACTGTGGTGTGTTAAACATATTTTGGTGAATTTAGACTTAAACTGGTTAATTTAGACTCCGTTCAGACCTACTTTGGTCAATTTAAACTCATTTTGCTAAGTTTAAAGTAATTTTGGTAAATGTAGACATGGAGTGGTAAATTCGGAGTTTTTTTGGTAAATTTCAGTTTTACCCCTAATTTGTGAGTCGTTGCCATAGCAGCGAACGCCTCACGCGGTCGCCATAGCAGGCCGCGCTGGTTCACCGCGCAGTTTGTCACGGCGGGTTTTCCTGGTTTGTTCCGGTTCCTGTGCAGCTGATCTTATTGATGAGCAGCGTTTGGGCTCAGACTGACCGTTTGAAGTGGCTGTTCGGTGATTTTCCTCTGATGTTTCCTCTGTGATGTGTAACAGTCGCAGTCCGCGCTGGAGCTGCTTCACCGCGTTAGTATTCCCGTCCAATAGCAGCGCAGAGGCAGCTTTGTTTCCCACCTGCATTCCGACAGGAAGCCCCGCCCCATCTGCGCTCCGATTGGTTGGATAGTTCGTGCGCGCAGGCATTCCGCCGTTCTAAGATGCTGTTGGTCCCGCCCCTCCTGCCCTGGGATTGGCTAAGCAGTTCATAGTCACCGTTTTAAACTCTGTCACTATTAGCCAATCCCGGCGCAGGAGGGGCGGGCATCTGAGCAGCCAGCGAGCCAATCCCAGCGCACGTGGGCGTGGTATGCCGGAATACAGGTGCACGCGGCGAGGTCAGACCAGCAGCATCTCTCTCTCTCTCTCTCTCTCTCTCTCGAGCGCGCGCTATCCGTTAACGCTCGGGATTCGGTTTATCTGCAAAAGCGATGAAACCTCTGCAGCTGTGAGAAGAGCGCGCGCGGTGCTTATAATCGATTGTATTGATCGGTGTCGTTTGCTGTCGCTATCGGGCATGCACGCGCTCTGATCTCGTCCTCGAGACGAAGGTGACTCGCATCGCGTGCAGTCGGTGGCAATGCAGAGAGGAAGAGCTCGTGCGCGCGACGAGGAGCCGCGGTGCGCGTGACAGATTGATCGATTGGAAAGCAAGAAAAAGCGAAATCCTGCGAGTCTGTGTGAGTGAGTGTGTGTGCGCGTGCGAGTGAGCGTGTGGAGGTGGGGGTGGTGGCGCGCGCCTCGGTTCGGTCTCCTCGCTGGATGTGTCTGCATGAGCTCCGCACCGACAGGGCGCAAAACCCGCCCCGTCCTCCAGCTGGGCAAACCCGGGGAGCGCGAGCCCGAGCGCGCGGAGGGAGCGGACTGCAGGATGGTGAGCATCACTTAGGGGGGTCTGGGGGGGGCGGCGCTGGTGTTTGGGGTTTATTTGTGGGGGAGGTTTAGTGTTGGGGGCGGATTTGGTCTTGCTTGTTAGATTTTGGGGGCTTTGGTTGGATGTTCGGAAGTTTTTAGCTGTTTTGGGGTTTAAGGGGGATTGAATGCTTCAGGATTGGGGTGTTGGTTGTACGTGGTGGTGGATGTTTGGAGTTTTGGGGATTGTTTTTAAAGGAGATGTTTGGGATTTGGAGGTTGGGAGTTTTGATGTTTGGAGGTTTTGAGATTTATAGAGGGATTTGATGCTTCAGGATTGGGGGTTGGGGTGTTGGATGTACGTAAGGGGGTGGATGGATGTTTGGGGGATTGGGTTTTAAAAGAAGTTAGCTGTTCAGGATTAGGAGGTCAGGGGTTGTTGGTTAGTTGGGTTTTGGGGTTTTTGGGATTTGGCGTTCATGGAGTTTAGCGGGTTGGGGAGTTTGGTCTTTGGGGGTTACATCTTGGATGGTTTGTAGTTTTGGGGGTTGGATAGTTCGGGAGTGAGGGGTTTTTAGGGGGTTGGATGGTTTTTAGTTTGGGGGGTTGGATAGTTTGGGAGTGAGGGGCTTTTAGGGGGTTGGATGGTTTTTAGTTTGGGGGGTTGGATAGTTTGGGAGTGAGGGGCTTTTAGGGGGTTGGATGGTTTTTAGTTTGGGGGGTTGGATAGTTCGGGAGTGAGGGGCTTTTAGGGGGTTGGATGGTTTTTAGTTTGGGGGGTTGGATAGTTTGGGAGTGAGGGGCTTTTAGGGGGTTGGATGGTTTTTAGTTTGGGAGTGAGGGGCTTTTAGGGGGTTGGATGGTTTTTAGTTTGGGGGTTGGATAGTTTGGGAGTGAGGGGCTTTTAGGGGGTTGGATGGTTTTTAGTTTGGGAGTGAGGGGCTTTTAGGGGGTTGGATGGTTTTTAGTTTGGGGGTTGGATAGTTTGGGAGTGAGGGGCTTTTAGGGGGTTGGATGGTTTTTAGTTTGGGAGTGAGGGGCTTTTAGGGGGTTGGATGGTTTTTAGTTTGGGGGTTGGATAGTTTGGGAGTGAGGGGCTTTTAGGGGGTTGGATGGTTTTTAGTTTGGGGGTTGGATAGTTTGGGAGTGAGGGGTTTTTAGGGAGTTGATGGTTTTTAGTTTGGGAGTGAGGGGCTTTTAGGGGGTTGGATGGTTTTTAGTTTGGGGGTTGGATAGTTTGGGAGTGAGGGGCTTTTAGGGGGTTGGATGGTTTTTAGTTTGGGGGTTGGATAGTTTGGGAGTGAGGGGTTTTTAGGGAGTTGATGGTTTTTAGTTTGGGGGGTTGGATAGTTTGGGAGTGAGGGGCTTTTAGGGGGTTGGATGGTTTTTAGTTTGGGGGGTTGGATAGTTTGGGAGTGAGGGGCTTTTAGGGGGTTGGATGGTTTTTAGTTTGGGGGGTTGGATAGTTTGGGAGTGAGGGGCTTTTAGGGGGTTGGATGGTTTTTAGTTTGGGGGGTTGGACAGTTTGGGAGAGTGGGGTTTTTAGGGGGTTGGATGGTTTTTAGTTTGGGGGGTTGGATAGTTTGGGAGTGTGGGGTTTTTAGGGGGTTGATGGTTTTTAGTTTGGGGGGTTGGATAGTTTGGGAGTGAGGGGCTTTTAGGGGGTTGGATGGTTTTTAGTTTGGGGGGTTGGACAGTTTGGGAGAGTGGGGTTTTTAGGGGGTTGGATGGTTTTTAGTTTGGGGGGTTGGATAGTTTGGGAGTGAGGGGCTTTTAGGGGGTTGGATGGTTTTTAGTTTGGGGGGTTGGATAGTTTGGGAGTGAGGGGTTTTTAGGGGGTTGGATGGTTTTTAGTTTGGGGGGTTGGATAGTTCGGGAGTGAGGGGCTTTTAGGGGGTTGAGGGTTTGGAGTTTGGGGACGTTTGGGTTTTGGTGGGTTGATGTTTTTAAGGTTTGAGAAATTAAAGGTTTAGGGGTTCGGTGTGATGGGGTTTGAGAGTTCAGGGTTAACGGGGTTTAGGATGTTTGGAAGTGGTTTGGAGTTTGGGGTTGGAGAGGGGTTGGTGGGTTTGCTGTTTATGGGGGTAGGAGTCTACATGTTTACAGTTTTATTTTGCGTGATCTTTCTGTGCAGAGGAGGACGGGTTCCAGAGGAGGATGGGTTCCCCTTTTGAGTCTTGGTTCCTCTCAAGGTTTCTTTCTATTGCTCTTAGGAAGTTTTCCCTTGCCACTGTCGTCTTTGGCGACACTCATGCACCTGGATTTTTCAGTAAAGCTGTGTTGTGACAACGGCTGTTATAAAAACACAATATAAATAAACTTTAACTCGACTTGCAGCCTGTTAGTGAATCAGTAATAAAGAGCTTCTACAGAGTTTAGCCAAAACCAGCCACAGCAGAGTGACTGTATCACTGTGCTGTTAAAGGAGAATAAAAAGAGCAAATCTAACTTTTAACGGCGCTTTTTATGTTTATAGATAACATTAATGATTTCAAATGCATCCACAAAGTCAAAGCCTTTAAGGAAATGTTCATAGTTAATCAGTACAGTCTCTAATCTGCAGTGTGTGATGATCACAGAGGTGGCTGCAGGCTGCATGTCTTAACCCAAACTAACCTGTGTGGCCAAATTTACCAGGTTTTCCCCCGTAACCACAAATGTAGTCAATCAGCCGGGACGTTCAGTTCAGTGTCTGAAGTCTGCTTCTTTAGTTTTAACACTGGAGCTATGAGGCTAACGTTGCTAAGAAGTAATCAAAGCTTATATACCACAAATTAGCACTATGCTAACTGCATACATAAATCTTTGCACACTTGCCTCAAACAGCTTGACACAATTTGAGGCGTGAAGCAGTCGTTGGCTTCCTATTTACCAGCTTTTCATTTGAATTTTCCGTTCCACCTTAAATGGTGGTGCAAATAGGAACACAGGAGCCAGAACAATAGGAAAAGTTAGCCTTTACATTTAGCTGTTACATTAGCCTATAACTAAAAAGCAAACTTCAGACGCCAAACATGTCTGATTGCCTACACTTTGGGGAAACTGGGAGAGTTTAATTTTTCAGTAAACTATTTCTTTAAGCTCCAAAATGCTGTGGAGCTTCTAATCGTGAGAACAGTGTTTCATTCTCTTTCCATCTTTCCCTCAGGTTGTTCAGGAGTTTAACACACTGGTGGCTCTATATCGAGAGCTGGTGATATCGGTGGGGGAGATTTCGGTGGACTGTCCTTCTCTACGGGCAGAGATGCACAAAACCCGCACTAAAGGCTGTGAGATGGCCAGGACAGCTCATCAGAAACTTTCTGCAATATCAGGGTAAGAACATATTTACAGGAAGGTAAATGCATTACGTGATTCTGATGACTTACTGGCCGTTGAGAAAACACCTTTTTAAATGCAAGGTGCATCTCCTACTGAGAAAGAAGCAGAATGCTCTTCTTAGAGGGTCAGTGCATGGCCCAGTCAAACTCTGCTGTCATGTCCCAATTTGTAGTTCTGTCAAACTCATCTACTGCAATGAAACGTGTCCCGGCTTGTGGCCTATAGTCAAACTCCACACTGTGGTGAAACATGTCCCGGTTTGTGGCCTATAGTCAAACTCCACTACTGTGGTGAAACGTGTCCCGGCTTGTGGCCTATAGTCAAACTCCACTACTTTGGTGAAACGTGTCCCGGTTTGTGGCCTATAGTCAAACTCCACTACTGTGGTGAAACGTGTCCCGGTTTGTGGCCTATAGTCAAACTCCACTACTGTGGTGAAACGTGTCCCGGCTTGTGGCCTATAGTCAAACTCCACTACTTTGGTGAAACGTGTCCCGGTTTGTGGCCTATAGTCAAACTGTACTACTTTGGTGAAACGTGTCCCAGTTTGTGGCCTATAGTCAAACTCCACTACTGTGGTGAAACGTGTCCCGGCTTGTGGCCTGTAGTCAAACTCTACTACTTTGGTGAAACGTGTCCCGGCTTGTGGCCTATAGTCAAACTCCACTACTTTGGTGAAACGTGTCCCGGCTTGTGGCCTATAGTCAAACTCCACTACTGTGGTGAAACGTGTCCCGGTTTGTGGCCTATAGTCAAACTCCACTACACTGTGGTGAAACGTGTCCCGGTTTGTGGCCTATAGTCAAACTCCACTACTGTGGTGAAACGTGTCCCGGTTTGTGGCCTATAGTCAAACTCCACTACACTGTGGTGAAACGTGTCCCGGTTTGTGGCCTATAGTCAAACTCCACTACTGTGGTGAAACGTGTCCCGGTTTGTGGCCTGTAGTCAAACTCCACTACTTTGGTGAAACGTGTCCCGGCTTGTGGCCTATAGTCAAACTCCACTACTGTGGTGAAACGTGTCCCGGCTTGTGGCCTATAGTCAAACTCTACTACTTTGGTGAAACGTGTCCCGGCTTGTGGCCTATAGTCAAACTCCACTACTGTGGTGAAACGTGTCCCGGCTTGTGGCCTATAGTCAAACTCCACTACTGTGGTGAAACGTGTCCCGGCTTGTGGCCTATAGTCAAACTCCACTACTGTGGTGAAACGTGTCCCGGCTTGTGGCCTATAGTCAAACTCCACTGCTGTGGTGAAACGTGTCCCGGCTTGTGGGCTATAGTCAAACTCCACTACTTTGGTGAAACGTGTCCCGGTTTGTGGCCTATAGTCAAACTCCACTACTGTGGTGAAACGTGTCCCGGCTTGTGGCCTATAGTCAAACTGTACTACTTTGTTGAAACGTGTCCCGGTTTGTGGCCTATAGTCAAACTCCACTACTGTGGTGAAACGTGTCCCGGCTTGTGGCCTATAGTCAAACTCCACTACTGTGGTGAAACGTGTCCCGGCTTGTGGCCTATAGTCAAACTCCACTACTGTGGTGAAACGTGTCCCAGTTTGTGGCCTATAGTCAAACTCCACTAATGTGGTGAAACGTGTCCCGGTTTGTGGCCTAGAGTCAAACTCCACTACTGTGGTGAAACGTGTCCCGGCTTGTGGCCTATAGTCAAACTCCACTACTGTGGTGAAACGTGTCCCAGTTTGTGGCCTATAGTCAAACTCCACTAATGTGGTGAAACGTGTCCCGGTTTGTGGCCTAGAGTCAAACTCCACTACTGTGGTGAAACGTGTCCCGGCTTGTGGCCTATAGTCAAACTCCACTACTGTGGTGAAACGTGTCCCGGCTTGTGGCCTATAGTCAAACTCCACTACTTTGGTGAAACGTGTCCCGGCTTGTGGCCTATAGTCAAACTCCACTACTTTAGTGAAACGTGTCCCGGTTTGTGGCCTGTAGTCAAACTCCACTACTGTGGTGAAACGTGTCCCGGTTTGTGGCCTATAGTCAAACTCCGCTACTGTGGTGAAACGTGTCCCGGCTTGTGGCCTATAGTCAAACTCCACTACTGTGGTGAAACGTGTCCCGGCTTGTGGCCTATAGTCAAACTCCGCTACTGTGGTGAAACGTGTCCTGGCTTGTGGCCTATAGTCAAACTCCACTACTGTGGTGAAACGTGTCCTGGCTTGCTGCCTAGTCAAGCTTCTATGGTGAAATGTATCCCGGCTTGTGGCCTAGTCAAACTCTGCTAATGTGTTGAAACATGGCCCAGCTTGTAGCCTATTCAAACTTTGCTACTAAGGTGAAAAGCGTCCCAGCTTGCCGCCTCGTCATTTCACAACTCCAGCATATCCTGTCTTGCAGCTGAGTCAAACTCCAGCATATCCTGTCTTGCAGCTGAGTCAAACTGCAGTGAAAACTAGATTATAGCCTGCAAAGTTTCTGTGATGCTCTTGCTTTACAGTTTTTAGTTTGGTTTGGACCGTGCCCTTGAAATATGGTTGTGGTTTGAGATCAGACTGTTTGAGTGTAGGAGGGCAGTGTGCGATGATGCAGTTAGCACTGGTCTGATCAGTGGGTATAGGCTTGCATTGCTTATTAGCTACATTAGCTTCTTAGCTCCAGTCTTAGCTGATCGGCTGCATTCAGGGTAAACTTGGTAAAGTAGATATTTCACTTTAACTCCTCTTTATTTGGATCAGCAAATCAGTGATTTACAGAACTGTAGCGGAATAAAGCCGATCGATGGTATCGCCAGCGCCACGACTTTCCACCAGAGACCCTCACAGCAGTAATTACAGAGACCCACAGGCTTCACATAGCAACACTTTAATTAGCGCTGCTTTCACTTTGCACTATTGCGGTCAATCTCTATCGGACTAAGTGTGTTAACTACATGATTTGGGGTAGTTAATTATAATTGTCTGTAATTCATTTAATTTTATTTACCCCTAATCCCCTTATTGATCTAGCAGCTCTATTTCTGAACTAATTTGATCTGAATGATAAATAAAATAATAAGTTGTATGATTTAAGATACGGTCTGTCAGGACAATCATTTACACTGATGATCCATCACTCTTTACTCGCTCACTCATCATCTGAGCCACTTATCCTCCTGTTTCGCAGGGAGCGGGGGGGAGCTGGAGCCTGTCCCAGCACTCATTGGCTGGAAAGCAGGAAACACCCTGGACAGGCTGCCAATCCATCACACCATGACTTTATAAAACACTAAAAAAAACTTTATTAGAAACACCCCCACCTACTTCCACTCACTGACCACTTTATTAGAAACACCCCCACCTACTTCCACTCACTGGCCACTTTATTAGAAACACCCTCACCTACTTCCACTCAGGGCTGAAGAATCCAAACACCTCTTTTATTCCAAACCCAGGAGACTCGATCTGTTGTCAGTGAAGTTTGTTCGTTGCGCGGGCAGGTTCCAGACACCCAGCCAGCCGTAAGACACTGGACTGTTACAGTTTTATAGCTGGACTGAGGCCAAGATTAGACCCAGCTTATACAGGACAAGTAACAGGTGTGACAACATGACCATAAAAGGAGAAACACAAAAATAGGCAGCCTAAAATACAACTTCAGCACCTTCACACACAACACAGCACAGTAACTTCCTTCAGGGCCACTTTATTAGAAACACCCCCACCTACTTCCACTCACTGGCCACTTTATTAGAAACACCACCACCTACTTCCACTCGCTGGCCACTTTATTAGAAACACCCCCACCTACTTCCACTCAGTGGCCACTTTATTAGAAACAATCACACCTACTTCCACTCACTGTAAACACTTTCTCTCTCTCTCTCTCTCTCTCTCTCTCTCTCTCTTTCTCTCTATCTCTCTCTCTCTCTCTCTCTGTCTCTCTTTGTTCCTCAGGCCGGAGGACGGAGAAATCCACCCTGAAATCTGTCGGCTCTTTATCCAGCTGCAGTGCTGTTTGGAGATGTACCTGACGGAGATGCTGAAGTCTGTGTGTCTGCTCGGATCACTGCAGCTTCACAGGAGAGGTACAGCTCATTTCCATAGTTACACTACACCCATTTCCATAGTTACACTACACGCTTTTCCATATTACACTACACCCATTTCCATAGTTACACTACACCCATTTCCATAGTTACACTACACCCATTTCCATAGTTACACTACACCCATTTTCATAGTTACACTACACCCATTTCCATAGTTACACTACACGCTTTTCCATATTACACTACACCCATTTCCATAGTTACACTACACCCATTTCCATAGTTACACTACACGCTTTTCCATATTACACTACACCCATTTCCATAGTTACACTACACCCATTTCCATAGTTACACTACACGCTTTTCCATATTACACTACACCCATTTCCATAGTTACACTACACGCTTTTCCATGGTTACACTACACCCATTTCCATAGTTACACTACACGCTTTTCCATGGTTACACTACACCCATTTCCATAGTTACACTACACCCATTTCCATAGTTACACTACACCCTTTTCCATATTACACTACACCCATTTCCATAGTTACACTACACCCTTTTCCATAGTTACACTACACCCATTTCCATAGTTACACTACACCCATTTCCATGGTTACACTACACCCTTTTCCATAGTTACACTACACCCATTTCCATAGTTACACTACACCCTTTTCCATATTACACTACACCCATTTCCATGGTTACGATACACCTATTTCCATAGTTACACTACACACATTTCCATGGTTACACTACTCATGGTAACTGCTATGAATTATTCAGTAACTACCACTTATATAAGGTATGCCACTGATATATTATGAATGATTCAGTATTTACTAAGAACAGTTTTATTTTTACTGTGACTTATTCAGTTATTACCGTAATCAGTATCTACTATGAATTATTCAGTGTCTATCATAAATTATTCAGTATCTGCTCTGAATTATTCAGAATCTACTGTGAAGTGTTCAGTATTTGCTATAAACTTGTGTCTTCTGTAAACTTATGTGCAGTTTTGACATTGAGGAACTAAATTATGAATTCACGTCCAGCTTCTTCTTCAGTGTTGAAGACGTGTTTAACCGTGCGGGCGTCTTTAGGCGAGCTGACCCACGCCCTCACTGTGCTGCGTCTGTGTTCTGGTTCTGTATTTAGCCCTGCGGGTCCAGTGTCCGGTGTTGGTTTCAGTGCAGTGTGTTCTCGGTGTTGGTTACTCGTGTTCGGGGCTGGATGTGTTACAGGGAAAGATTCTTCTGCTCTGTTGAAGCCAGAGAGTCGGAAAGAGGAGAGCTCCGATATCCCCATCCTGGAGGACACCTCTTCATCTCCGCTGGAGCAGCAGGCCCACTGCCACGTGGCCACCGACATCGAGAACATCGAGAGGTCATTCAGATCCACAGCACTGACCACTTAACCCTCAAATATAATCGGTCATAAAATTCTGAATTTGATACGATACAGGGGTGCTTTGATTCTGTACCTTTAATAAAACAGCAACAAGATACGTTAAATGTGTTCATATATTAATCTTTCTATTTTCAGTTAATCAGAGCAATTAACATCATAAACGTTCAATATTTTAATCATTATTTAAATACGTTGCTGTATAGTGTTGTGGTCTAATGCTTTAGCCATAAGCTAATATGTTAGCTCCAAGCTAACACACTAGCCATAAGCTAACAAGCTAATCATGATACTATGATGTGATGCAGTGTGATATGTTGTATCCCTACATACCTACTTAAATCTCTTTTTGATAAAAAATTTAATGTAATTGACTGTTTGCAAAATTCTGACCAATCCCGCCTCCTTAGTTACTGTTGCTATGTCCACCAGACTTCCAGCTCCTGGTAGCATCTGTAGCATTTGTGCTAACAGACTAAAAGTTCATTAGCACAAAAGAAAATGTGGAACCACACAGAGGGGAACATTGTATTAGTCAATAATCAGTTAATAAACTAGCTTTACCAAAGAAATGCCTGAAAATTGACAAAATATGAATGAAATGTAAAGCGAACCAAAAATGCTTTGTGGAAGTGTTAGTGATGCACGCTGCCCCTTCAGGTGAGCTAATGCTAAAGCTAATCTCAGAGCTGGACACTAAGGAGGACTCATCGGGTTTTACAGTACATTTTATTTATTTTTACACCAAATATTTAGTTACATTATGATTTCCATCTCATTTGCATTCTGTATGAACAGATTTGTCTGTTTGTCTGTTATTATTATTATCATTAAAATCATTAAAGTACTACTGATATGAAGGTATGGCACTGATATAATGTCTGTTATAAATGATTTACCATGAGTGGTTTGATATTGAGTCTGAAATATTTAGCAACGATAATCAATTATTCAGTATTTACTGTGAACACAACAATAACACACATCATAATAAAATCATAATAAAGTAAAATCTGCACTTTCCTCACAGTTTCTCTGCTTCATTTAGCCAAAAATGATTCATATAAAACTACAGCATGATTTTGTTGGGACTGAGTTAAAGCAGTAGTTCAGTCAGAGAAGCTAATGTTGCTAACAGTAAATGAGAGTGAACAGCCGTCTGTTAGCATCGTTAGCTCCTGTTTACAGCAGTGCAGTGTTTGTTCTTGTCGTTTGTCCTGACGCTGATGATAAATAAACACTGAGATGTTCTCCTGCAGGGACATGACGGAGATGAAGAACCTTCTCAGTAAACTCAGGGAGACGATGCCTTTACCGCTGAAGAATCAAGGTGCCCTCATTACACCTGCTTTATTATTATTATTATTATTATTATTATTATTATTATTATTATCATTTTCTGTTATCTCTGTTATGCTGATAGTACACACTTAAAAACAGTGGCTTTCAAGGGTTCTTTAGTGAAGAAAATGGTCATAAATAGAACCATGAACACTCAAAGGACCTTTTTTGCGTGCTTAAATGGTTCTTTGCATGGTGAGATGGTTCTCCAGACTGATGGAGGATGTGCCTTAGATGGTTCTGTAGAGCACCAAAAGCTTTTTTGGTGTTGTATAGGATCCTTTTCAAAAAGGTTCTATATAGAACCATTTTATTCACTAAAGAACGTTGAAGAATCATTTTTAAGTGTGTAGAATTCATAATAAAATTCTTTCTATTAAATTATAAAGGAGTGTAAAATAGAAGTGATTATCTCCAGCACCGTCAGACGTCTGGACCCACTATGTGGCTGATAATTTGCATAAATATTCATTGCATGTATAATCTGTGTATTATAGTATTGTGTATAGGTGAGTGATACAGCAAAATGTAATATCACGATCTTTCAGGACGTTTTTAGATCCGTGATGTGTCACAATATTTATTGTTAAGCTGTCAAAAACTAGGAACATAATTACTATTCAACATTTCACACACTGCACTGCACTAAATCTAATTAAACAGAGCTAATTAAGCTCTTTTTTAATTGAACCATGCAGCTGGTCAGTGTTTTTAAGTGCTGTCGAGATCCACGATACACTCAGAGAAGAATATCGTGACGTAATTCATCATGATAATGATCAGTATCATCATTCTGCCCAGCTGTAGTGTGAATGTGGTGTTTTGTGTGTTCCCAGATGACAGCAGCTTGCTGAACCTGACCCCATACCCCCTGGTCCGGCAGAGGAAGAGGCGCTTCTTCGGCCTGTGCTGTCTGGTGTCCAGCTGAGCTTTCACCCAGGATCTAACCACAAAGACTACATTTCCCATGATCCCTCACAGTGTGCGTCGTTCACCAATCGACAGTGTAACTGCCATTGCCCAATTTCCCAAACCAGCGCCCTCTGTTGGTGAGGGCGCTCGGATTACTTACTGATACAGACCAACTGTACCATCACTGATAATCAATATATATACATACATACAGATACACACACACACACATATATATATATACACATATATACGATATAAACATGATTTTCTTTTGAAATAAGTGAATGTAGCTTCTGTTCATCATCATTATACTATCTGAAGATACGTTGTAGATTAAAGAATGCTGCTGTGTTTATCCTCCTCCACAGCGCCCCCTGCTGGTGCGAAATGATTCCAGCCTTATAAACTCCGCATTTATTTTGCATGCTCACTGCAGAACACGACCCACATTCACACCTTTACAGCTGTGCATCTCGGTTATCAGCTGCAAATATGGCGACACAACATAAACAAACGTTGGGCGTGTCTGGTCTTGTCTTGGCTCTGAACTTTGTTTTTCTCCCTGCTTCTCCTCCGTATTAATTCTGCTATTATTTAGTCTTCCATAAACCGAAAACCTGTAAACCTTTTCTGTTTGTGTCCATCTTTAGGGATAAACAATACCTGAAAAAGCCTTTGTACATAATAAATAAATCTATATACAGAAGCTCTAGAGTTGTACATTTACATCACGTTCACATGTAATATGTACGTTTATACTTAACATTTACACAGTTATATTTATGTTTACGTCTCGTGTGCAGGTTTTCATCATTGTGTTCAGCAGAACCGTAATTTAACACTCATGTTAAATGTGTTGACACTGAATATGCAAAAAAATGTCAGGTAGCAAAGAGTAATAAAATTTTTCATCACACCTGCACGTCATATTGATGTAAGACCTGCGTTTGAAATGATTTTTCTGTTAGGAGTCTGTTTTAAAGGAAGGACCTCAGCCTTTTAATCACTGACCTGAATAATGAGTGGATATATATTAGCAATAATAGCAGTAAAGACATAAACATGGAGTTAAAGATCATTTAGCCCTGACTGTTCTGAAAGCTCCGACCACAAGGGGTCACTGTGGCATTCACAAACGCCACAGAGGCCAACAGTTTCACGTTTCACAGTTTTTTCTGGACTTGAGTTGGAGAGCAGACAGCACAGCTAATTAAACACACATCACTCACCGTCGTTAACCCAGTACAGCTTCAGATTCAAATACATTGGTACTGAAAGGGCTGAAGGAAACTGTACTGGCTGCTTTTGGAGCTTTTTCTGATGGTCGTTGCTGAAATTGGCTAAAACTGCTCTTGCTTAGAATCAGAGGGTCATCCCGATATTCCAGAGGTCCTATATTCTAAGGAACCCTATGTTCCCAGTACCCTGTATGTGTTCCCTTCTTGTCATTTTTGAAACAGCCCTGTCTTCCAAGAGCCCTATATTCTCAGTAGCCCTAACCTCCAAGGGCTCTACATTATTAAGGTCCTATGTTCCAAGAACCCAATGTTCTTAGGGCCCTATGTAACCAAAGTCCTATGTTTCCAGGAGCCCTGTATTCCAAGGGTTAATTGTTTCAGGAGCTCTATATTCACAGGGCCCCATTTTCCAAGAGTCCTATGTTCTCAAGGTCATATGTTCCCTCTTTGTCATTTTGTAAACAGTCATAAGTTCCAAGGGCCCTATGTTCTCAGGAGCCCTCTCTTTTATAGGCCCTTCATAATCAGGGTCCTATATTCTGAGAGCCCAGTGTTCACAAGGTCCTGTGTTTCCAGGAGCCCTGTATTCCAACGGTTATTTGTTCCAAGAGGCCTGTATTCCAATGTTTCCAAGGTCCTCCGTTCCTTCTTAATTATTTTGGAAAGTCTTATGAACTTCTTATGAACGTCTTATAAACCAGATGAAGCGATTACTCACATAGTTCATGTATGTTATGCACCAAACTAAAACAAAAGAGTTTGCATTACAAAGTTTGCTTAGTTAGCTAATTAGCTCACTTAGGCTAACCAGTCTGAAGGGAAGCATGCCTATTGAACGATCTGCTCCTGATTGTCACCTGTATGACCTTGAATGGCCCCAGGACCCTAACCATGAGCTGTGGAACCCTTTCTTAGGCTTCTTTGATGTGTCGTATTGAGGTTTAAGGTGTTGTATAAAGAGCTGAGGGAATAGAAACAGAGAAGTGAGCAGCTAGCGGAGAACGTCCAGCGATAAACCCGTCAGTTGGGTCTGGGTTTTATGTATACAATATATACTCACTGTAAACATGCCAGTGTATGATTTCATATGGGCTATGACAACTGTGGGTGACCCTGAAGCGCCCCCTGCTGGTTTAAAATGAGGATTGATGCTTGTTTTGCTGCATTATTCCTTTAATAGACTCATATCTGAAATTTTGACCCTCCACTCGTCCCACGCAGTAACAGACACTATAAAAAGCCTGGACAGGGCTGGACATGAGGGCCAGTGTAATTAGTTGTCGAGCAGTTGGCCAGATTGGGAGGGTTTGTTTGGACGCTGGCAGTGTGCAAACTGTTTGTTTACCTTCGCTGTGTCAGACTGGAGCAGACTGGCAGGGGTTCTCTTCCAAAACAGCTCACAACCAACTGGAGATTTTTCATTTATTCAGAATAAAGAGTCAAAAACAAGGTGTATTTTATAGAGCGCATGAAAAAAGATGAATTTAGGAAGCTGAAAGCGACAGTTTCTGTTTATAGAGGCAGCTTTGAGCCATGAAGCTGAATGTGGCTTCCCTGTTCGGCCGCTTCTCTTTGGAATTGTCAGCTCCACCTTAAATGGTGAAGCAGTTACATGCTGCACTATTTAAGGTGAAACAGCAAATTGCACTGAGAAGCGTCTGAATAGGGAAACCACATTCACTGACACATTTGAGCCCAGAGTGTAATGCTTTAGGCATGCTAATGCTAATAGCTGAGGTATAAGCCTCCATTACTTGTTAGCTACATTAGCCTCATAGCTCCAACACTAAAACTAAAGAAGCTTGATTGACTATTTAAAGTAAGGAGGGAAAACTGTGTAAATTAGACTGAATTTCGACTGAAGTATCGCTTGATTAAGTGTTTTTAGGCGTCACAGGGCTGCAGGCTGAGGATGTCGGGGGTCTCTCCCCCGCACTGTCGGACCCCCACTTCACATTCAGACACGGTGGACGGTGTGGACTCTCCGCTCAGTAACGCGCACACCTGGATCCAGCGGGTGGGCGGTGCGCACTCCTCCAGTGTCCGGCAGCGACACACCTGCGACTGATCTACAGCCGAAAAACAAAAACACCACAGAGTGCAGTGTGTGTTTATTATGAGTGTCTGTTACTCTTATATACTGTATGTTTAAGCACATTCACACCGTTTACAGTGTCTGACTCTATATATACACTTACACATTCACTACATTCGTTTATGTTCACCCTCCCTTATTTTCCCTTCTCTCTTATTTTCATCTTCTTTGAAACAAAAACAACACAACTTATTTAAAACAAAAGTGTCTCTGACACCAGATAGAAACTACAAATAACAATAAGAATGACAATGATAGTTTTTGTTGCTGCTTTCTTGCTTTATGTAAGCAAAATATTGACATCACACACACATATATGGTCAGATGTAAAAATTAGTCATTTATTTTAAAAATATTGTAGGCAATAACAATTCATCTGCACTTTAATGTGATGTTTTCAGGCAATTTTAGTGCAGAATTTCAATTTATTTGTTTCAAAAGTAAAACATAAAATAAATATTGTGCAATAACTTTTGCACAAGCCATATTTTATTTTCCAATATATCAAATTTTGTTTTCCAGTATATTAAATTTAGCAAATGAACCCTGATGCATGACTGTATGTATGTATGTGTGTGTGCACATGCAAAATGTAAATAATCGATGTTTCTCTGTTTGTGAAGGACTGAATTACTGTAATAAACAGTGCTGATTACAGTGAGCTACATTTTCTCTCTCTGTGTCTCTGTTATGAGTTATTGTGAGGTATCGGTCACTCTGAGGGTCTCACCGTCACAGAGGGTCCACAGAGAGCACTGTGGGCAGACTGCAGTGGATGGCTCTGGCCACTGGCAGGCACTGTGGTCAGCTAAGATAAACTGGTGACCCAAACACTGCATGGCCCGAACCTTACAGACGCTCAGCCTGCTGGTCCGGCGGCGCTCCAAGCTGGTGGCGCACACTTCCAGAGACGGCCTGACCAATCAGAGCAAAGATCAGACAGACAAAAAGGGGTGGGGGTGGGGGTGGGGGGGCAAATATGATAAAACATTTATACAGTAATCCTCATCTGCAGATCTGCAGATCTCTTTTTTTTAAATATCAAGCCACAAATATACAACATAAACATTAGCACATCAATAAAAACGTCCGCACTTTGACCCAAAACATTATACTACTGACAAAAACATTAGCACACCAACAAAACAGTAGACCAAAACATTAGCACACCAGTTAGTTCTACAGTTGTCATGGAGTTCCACAGGGCTCAGTCTTGGGGCCACTCCTATTCATCATTTACCTCCTCCCTCTTGGTTTTATCTTCCGGCACCTGTGGTATCCTTTTTCACTGTTATGCTGATGGTAAACAGCTTTGTGTCCACAGTTCCAGCCTCTACTCTGCCCTTCAATGTCCTCACTACCTGTTACAGTGATATACATATACAGACGACAGGCAGCTACTTAAACTCAACAGCAGTGAGACTGAGCTGATCCTCATGGGGTCTAAATCTACACTTTAAAACTAATATTTGTTCACTCCTCATTGCTGGAGCCATCATACCTGTTCCCACACAGGTTAAGAGCCTCTGTGTGGTTTTGGACAGCCTCCTGTCCTTCTGAAGTCATAAACAATATATCCGGATTGCCTTTTTCCACCTGCGAAATATTTCCAGACTACGCCCTGTTTTAACAGGACACTCCACTGAAGTCTTAGTCAATGCTTTGGTTACATTGGTTACATCACACATCGGCTGCTGTAATGTGATCCTGTAAGGCATCACCAACAAACTGAACTACTGACTTTAACTTATTCAGAGCTCTGCAGCACAAATCATTACACGATCTGAATCTGCTGACCAGGTTACACCTGCTGATCCCACCACACTGGATTCCTGTGTCAGTGGATTCACTACTAAAACATTAGCACACCGACAAAAACATTTGATTGGATTTACGTGTGTGTGTGTGTGTGTGTGTGTGTGTGTGTGCGTGTGCGTGTGTGCGCGTGTGTGTGTGTGTGTGTGTGTGTGTGTGTGTGTGTGTGTGTGTGTATGTGTGAGTGTGTGTGTGTGTGCGCGTGTGTGTATGTGTGAGTGTGTGTGTGTGTGTGTGTGTGTGTGAGTGTGTGTGTGTGTGTGTGTGTGTGTGCGCGTGTGTGTGTGTGTGTGTGTGTGTGTGTGTGTGTGTGTGTGAGTGTGTGTGTGTGTGTGTGTGCGTGTGTGTGTGTGTGTGTGTGTGTGAGTGTGTGTGTGTGTGTGTGTGTGTGTGTGTGTGCGCGTGTGTGTGTGTGTGTGTGTGTGTGTGTGTGTGTGTGTGTGCTAGCGTACTCGCACTCGTAGGGAACTTTACAGACACAGTTATCTTTGGCCAGTTTCTCCCACGGCTGGCATTCGGT